TTGTAGCTTATCTTTCCTCTGAGTGCTTACCAAGAGTGATGGCCTGACATCAGTCAGCAGTGACTGAACCTTTCAGGAGTTGAATCTTTCTGTAGACACAACTGGGATATAACTGCCTTACCACTTGTGAATCCCTGTCATGGAGTTATATATGCACTGAGACAGAACTACATTTCCTCAGGTGGTTGTTACCTTGATGTCCTGGCATTCGTGATTTTTGGTTGTTGTTTTGCACTGCACAGTATTCTCCTGCCAGTTCAGTTCTCCATAACAGGGAGATTCCCGTGCTGTTATACAAGAGGAATTTAGTTAACTGCAGATGTTCAAGTCAGGATTTTGGGGGTTGGAGAAAAGGCCACATTCTCTATAGCCTTCTGCAGTTTCCCAGTGATAGTTGTAAGGCTTCACAGGTGTGCCAGGAGGGAATGTACCTGATAAGGCCTGTGCCCTGGGGACGCTCAGTAACAGTAGATCATCCTCTTCGTGCCCTGGCTGTTGCATTCATGTATTAGCACACTAATTTTCTGGCTTCTACGCCTTAGAATTCAGAGACCTGGTTGGTATCTCCTGTTTTCTACTGAGCTGTTGCAGTACTTCTAGTAAACACTCTCTATTTAATGTTAGGTTTCCATGACAAAAGGTTGGTTCTGACATTCTCCATTAGCTAACCCTGGATAAAACCCCTGTGGACAGGCAGAAAGGTACCATCTCCTGTATTTTGGTGTGTTTAGTGGATGCATTTTGCATTAAGTAGAACTCTCTAGTTCACTGGCTTTTTTGGTTCCTGCTGCTTATAGTCTGCTTATAGTCTTACACATCAGAAGTCTGTTCATCCTCCCTGAAAAACTGTTTACGCTTTTCATTTTAAATTGGCAATTCTTTGCATTCTGAAACTGGTTTTTTTTCAACCAGCTAATATTAAGTTATTGAGTAAACATTCCAACAGTACTGAGCAGAAACTAGCAGAACACATGCCTCTCTTGAAGTGTTTTTCTCTGTTAACATAGTTTTAAAATATGTGGTTGTATGGCTTCAGAATAGCTTCTTATGGTAAAACAGGTTTGTGTCTTTTTAATGTTGAAGGTACTATAGTTGTTTCAATTCGTTTGGTATGGAAACTTCTTATGCTTCCTATTGAAATAGAAAATTCATAACTTTAAGAGGTATTTTAAGTGTATAAAATATAATGTAGTGTGTGCAGTCCTGTACACAAATCCTTATATAGCTGTTATACAGAAAATCCAAATCTAGACCCTCGAGTTTCATTCTAGAACACATGGTTTCGGCTGATGGCAAACGTGTGGCTGTGTTGTTTGATACTGTATTGCCGACACAGAGGGTGTACTTACTGCAGCCTTGATAAGTGAGACTGTGGATGCATGTAAATAAAAGCTTAGTCAACTTGCAGATCTCATTTTAGAGAACTGTTAGCAATTTTAAAAGTCAAAAGCTCTTTCAATGGCAACTGCTTGTAATACAGCAATAAGTTTGTATAGTTTTGAATTTCTACTAAGGTTCTGAGTTGGTAGCTGGAAGTTTAATTCCAACTGGTTTGTATCTACTGTTTGGATTGTAACTTGTGTTTGTCGTGTTGGTGAGTAGTTAAATATGGGTTTAGAACCACATGAAAAATGGAATTGAACTTTGATCATTAAACTATATTTTAATGACTGCAAAAGCAAACTATTGTCATCTGTGTTCATTATTTTTAGACCATTAATTTCAAGATTGTAACATAAAAGCTGACTTTTACGCTCAAGTTAACACGTTTACAAGACCATGTTCCTGTCATACTCACAAAACTATTCCTTAAAAAGGAAAAAAATTTGGGATGAAGAAAAATCAAGTTGCCAAACCCAAGAGCCTTCATAATGGAACTGGGATGCTTTCTTAGAGTCTTTTAATCAACTCATTCCACAGGCGGGGGGGAAATGTCAGTGCTTTACTGAAATTAATTGTTTTTGAGGATAGAGCTGTGAAAAATACCGGACAACTGAGTTGCAGAATTCTTCTCATAGAATTTTTACTTTTTCTGTCATTATTCTCTCCCAAACAAAAACTTTACATTTGCTTTCAGTCATAAAACAGAGGAAGTAAACCTGAAAAGAAGTTCAGAGAGGATCTGAAGTTCAAAAATGTTGCAATTTGAGATGACTGATATTTAGGGGGTTTAAAATGGCTTTTAATTCTTGTAGCTGTTTGAGAACCCTCAGGTTCTGGAGAAATATGACTAATTTAGCTTGTGCTTGCAGTTTGCCCCTTTTTGTGTTACTAATGTGTCTGTCCTCTGTTTAAAAACATTGTGTCAGTGATGGCTGATCTACAGGCAATAATAATGATGATTTTAATTTTTTTTTTATTTTCAATTATGCTCTTACATGCAAATATTCTACCCCAAGTAGCAAACATGTTTGGTACAAATATTTTGTTTTGACTTTGTCAGAGGAACTTAAGAGTTATCCTTTCTGTTTTGTGTTAGTTGAATCAGTTCTGGTCCAAGTGAAATCTTAATGCATAACAATAATTTATTCTTTAAGTAATTGGAGTTTTAAGGTGTTTGCATTTTTGATGCTCACTGCACAAACCTTGAGACTGGGAATGGATCTTCAAAGTCTATACAGCTTGTATTAGTGAATATATTCCAGGTAAGCTCAAATGTTTTGAGTGAATAACCTTCCTGCAGATGTATTGCTCGTGGTGGCCTGATGGGCTGGGAGGTGGGTGATGTTCTCATGCAATCTTCAGCCAGTTCTAAATCGTGTGACTAAGCAGGAGCTTTGTCATGCTTATAATACCCCTTAAATTCTATAGCCCTTTTACTGACTCATTGATTCATGTTGTGAAATTTAAAATTATAATACTGCCTCTCTTCATTATTTTTGAAGTTAATGCAGCATTTAACCGGTATGATTCCTATTGCTTTTAACTTAGTAGCCAGTATCCTAATCAGAAAGAGACAGGTAACATTTATTATGGACACTTGTATAGCTGACTGAACTGCAGATTCAGTTGCTGATAATCTTGAATTTTAGTATCCTTTAGTAACTAAATGACTGTAAGTTCATCTCCCTGAATTTTTATTTATTATTTTTAGCTTTTATTTGGACAGTGTGCATGCAGACAATGAGAATCTTCTGTGTACCTGCACGGTTTTCATGATTTTCCGTATGTCTCATGATTTCAATCAATGGAAACTGAGATGACTTGGAAAAAAAAACATACTACTGTCAGGTATTATTTCCTGTTCTTGATCTTTGAAGGTGTACTGGAGAGGCAAAGTTTAAACTGGATTATTTTATTAAGTGGTTTCTGCAGGTCATGGTGGGTTTTGGAGAAGCCGTTCTTGTAAATAGGCTTTGTGTTCACATTGGTTTATCACAGATGTTGGACACCCCAAGAAGTGCTACCTTTACAATTCTGGCAAGAGAGATTTCCTCAGAAAGGGGTGCTGGTACCACTTGGATTTGGTACCAATGCTGTAGACACAGAGCCTGCCTTGAGTGTCAGTAATGTTGGTAACAGCTTAGCGTGGAGTCAGGAACGGGGGCATGGGGAGTTCCAAAGCAGTTCCAAGCACGGGATCGTGTCCTTCCACTCAGCAAACTCAGTCATGTAACAAAAAAGACAAAAATACCTCCCTGCAAATGTTTTCAACCCTCCCACAGACAACAGGGAACGAAGCGCATCATGAACAAAGGGCAGGAACAACCCTGAGCTGTGGATAGACAGCAAGACTGTTTGTCTCACAGTCTGGTCAGAATTATTGTGCAGAACTGCTGCTGCTTCTCAGCCTGCCCTGCCAGCAGAAGTCAATATTCCAGTGCTGGACACACACTCCTGTGGGTGTGCTACTCTTCTGCAGGTTTCACATCACTCTTCCATTTTGTCAGAATAAAAACTCTTGGGGGCTCCTGGAAGCCCTCCACAGAGGCATAGTTCCTTTGGATTCATTGACCCTTTGTTTGGCCATCTTTGCCTTTTTAAAAGTCTAAAAATTACATTAAGCTTCAATAAAGGAGTCACCTGCTCTTTCAGTGGGGATACTGTGACTGCAGCACATCAGTGAATCACACTTTTAGGGATTTGCTCCTCTCTGATACCAGTTTCCAGCATGTTTGCAGCTTGCATCACTGCAAGTGGATTGTTTTGTAGTTTGTATCCACTTTGCAACAGGAAACTGCAACTATTCAGGGAGCTCTTCAAGCAGCTCTGGGATCCAAGAATCTTGTGATCCTGCTTCTCTCCTGAGTCCTTTGGCTGCCTTGATGCAGTTCTGCGCTCCTGTGAGGGATGCTGCTGGTTGTTGATGATTTTGTTTTGTCTTTGTTTTGACATGTGGAGTCTTCAGTTTCACTGGTTCAGTCTAGTGACAACTGCTGACTGACTTCCAACTTGGAAGCTCATAACTCCTTATACTAATCTAGGGTTGCACAAAATCAGGACCACTGCTTTTATCTGTAACTGTTTCTTTGTGGTGTCATAAATTTGTTTATACTGTGGAAAATCCCATCTTGGTGAGAAGGTGGAAATATTGTGTAAGCCTTGTCACAAAGAGTTCAAAATACAATATTCTGGCCTCATTAAAAATGTAGCTATGTTAAGCAAAAGAAATAATTGAAAAGACAGCCTGCTGGCAACTGGACTAGTGCTGCAAAAAAGTTGTTTTACTTGCAGCTGTCTTAGTCGTGCCATGGCTTTATACAGGCAGTTACAGCAGATCTTCAAGTCTGTGTGGAATGAAGCAGTGGGGGTCTCAGGGCTGAGTGGACAGTTTACAGGTGTGGCTGGTATAGCAACAGTTCAGGGATAACCTTTACTGAAAACTGGGAGCAGTTTATGTGTAACACAGCATGCAGGAAGATGATGAATTCTACCTGTTAGGAATCTTTTCCTAGTTTTTATTCAAGATGACAATACTCAGGGCCTTCCTCTTGGTTTCAGCACCCAGGAACCTGTTTTTAAAGACTGTATGTGATAATTACAGCTTCAGTCCCAACTATTCCAGAGTTAAGTAAATTTAAGCTATAATATGTATTTGAAAGGGGTATAGTCTTTAGATTTATCATCCTGCTAAGTTACTTAAATAAAAAGATCACTTTTCTTCCAATAAAACAGAATCCCACAAATTGTTAATGCCTAACTTGCAGTGATTTGTTAAAGAAAATGTTGCCATTTTTAAGAAGAGTAATATATTTCAATGAAAAAAAGCAGAAAAGGTTTTTGAATTCAAATGTGCATTTCCTTTAATCTAAAATGGTATTATGAATCTTTGGCTTTCTCCAGATGATTCTGAATTTCTCTAGATGCAGTCTAAAAATAAAAAGGTGAATTTTCTAGCAAGTCATCCTGGGAGTAACAAGGCCTTAGAAAATAAATCACCGTTCCTTTTTCTCTATGCATTATCATGGTTTGTATCGGCTGTTAATACAGTTATAAATGACTTGAAATAGTTAATATAAGAGTAATGAGAACCCTTAAAATTATACTAAATTTTCAGGACCTAAAATAAAAATTATATAGGAAACAGTGTTGGAAGCCTGTGGCTGTGGCAACTGAGGTTATCCTAACAGAGGAGGAAAGGATTTTATTTGTTCACTACTCATGAAAAATAGGAAGCAAAGTTCTGTAACTTTTTTCGTATATAATGTTGAAAAGTCTTTCCCATTAGAATGAGGAATATTTCAGTGTCATTTTTTGGTGTTTTTCAAAACCAGTTATGTAAGTTAATTTTAGTGATGTAGATTCTTACTGATTTTTCTGGACAAGAAATTACTACATAAATTTAAGTATTTACAATGTATTACAGTATGTTGATGTGTTTTGTTGTTTGTTGGGGGTTTTTTCCCCCTCTGGAAGAACATTCCTGTACAAAGGAAATAGGAGGCAAAGTCTGAAATCTAAAATAAGGACTAAACTGCTTTTCATTTGCTTTTCTACCCTTTGAGATGCCAGAAGCAATTTCCTCTTGAAGCTGACTTCCTCTCTGGAAGTGATTTTCGTCTCCAACCATGTTGAGGCTCTTTTCTCATTCTTTCTTTCTGACTAACTTGCTTTTTTCCCCTCTGACTTTCTACTGCAGTTGGGAACTTCTGGAGGTAAGTAGTGACAGACAAGTTTCTCTCTAACTTTCTTTTTCAGTTCTTCTTCCCCCCCCCCCTCCCGCCCCCCCTCACCCAGTCAGTCTAGAAGGACAAACAAAGCACTATTGGTGTCCTCTGCAAGAGAGCACTGATAGGGGCTGGCTGTAAATTGACGTGGCATGGAAAATCTCTGCTAGTTTGGAGCAGCTCTAATGTTGCTGCGAAATCAAACCTCCTCTTAACCAAGTTTGTAGCTTGAAATCATCACGGGCTTACGGGTTCGATATCAAAAATGAATGGAAAGTACCTTCCCTTTTCTGTTTGGGAACTGGATTTTTTCTCTCTTTGGATTTACAGCTAATAGACAACAAAATCAAAGGGAATTATTTGGTTACTTTTTCTTTTTCCTGTAGTAAGAGCGACAGATCTTGCTGCTCCCCCCACCTTTTCCTGCAACTTAATCATTTGCAGATCTTGCCATGGGGTGCGGACTGAGAAAGCTGGAAGACCCAGATGATAGCAGCCCTGGAAAAATCTTTTCTACACTGAAGAGACCACAAGTTGAAACAAAGACGGATTCTGCTTATGAATATGTATTGCTGGATTTTACTTTAGAAGGTATTTTTTTTTTTTATGCTGTATGTTTACTATTCTGAGATAAGGGACGGCATTTAACTTAGCTCTGTCTTGTGTGACTTACAGTGAATCTTAGATACTTTTAGCACAGCCAGCCAAAATGTAAGACTCTTATTTTGAAACACAAATCATGACGAAGGTCCTCACTTATATAAAATTACAGTGGAAACTACCGAAGTATTTTTAACAACCCAAACCCTCCAAATTACACAACTGTCCTTGTTAAGGAAGCAGGCTAAAACTGTTAGAGATTTTCCTGGTTTCCTGTGAGTCAGATACTGCCATCCGTACTCGCTTTGAATAATGGTGGTCTGAATTCAGTGTGACGGTTCAGAAAATACACTGTGCCCGAACCTTAATTGAGTAACAGTTTTTTTTAAATGCACTCAACTTCTGAAAACAGGCTGTCATTGTCCTTGTTACTTTATGCAGAAGTAAGTCTGTTCCTTAGTTGTATACTAGGAGTAACTTCCCCTCTCATGCCCACCCCAGACTCTCTGTGGATATTTCTGTAAGGCTCTTAGAGTTTCATCTTACTATTTTTTTCAAGTGCTTTACTTGTAGTTGTTGAATAGTCTTTTGAAATCGTGACTGAAATGAAACAAAATCTGTATGCATAGCTAGAGGCAGACAGTGCTCTGTGGGATACTTCCTTCCCGAGGGTGTCCCGTCTCTAACAGAGCAACTCCCTGTTCCACAAAGTTGAAAACATAAACAAGCCCAGATGGCTGCCCTCGGAGAACAGACAGCTCAGTTTTGCAGTCACTCTATAGTAACTTGCATTTTAGAACAACTCCGTTTACTGGAAATGCTTAATAACAAGGATTTAAAGTAAATGCAGTTGCTAGAAGGGTTTGATAAAGGGAGGAAGTGTAAGTCTTACTGCAATTTCAGAAACTTTGTCATAAACAAAACTTGGCTTCTGCTTAGTTTTATCTCTAAATTAAAGGACTGTGGTAACATTGTATTTAAAATAGAACAGTCTTTCCATTGAAAAACTGCAAGGTACTAATAGAAGACACATTCTACTAAGTTAAAGTACTTGAAATCCAACTGGTTTTGTTGTTCTGGTTATTTACACAAGGTTTCTTCCCGGCTTGTTCTTTTGAAGAACAAAACTTGTAGTGGTAACATGCTGGAAATAAAGCTAGGCTGCCTAATGCGTCCATGGATTACCTCCTAATCTACTGGTAATAGGAAGGATAACTTTGAGACTGAAGAGCATTTAGTGTTCTTAAATAGCCTGTGTTCTGAATGTTCCTGTGTTTTCAAGTTACAGTTTCTGACAGTGTTTTGCAAAGGATCTGTTGTAAAGGTGGTTATGACTTTTAAAGTAAAAGCACATCAAACAACTGCAGATCAACGTGCATCTCTGTGATTAAATAACTTAGCAGTAAAGATTCTTTTTCTTCTGTTTAGTCTGATATTCAGAAATGCTTGACTTCAGTGGCCTGCTGCGGAATTATGAACGTTAAATAAGCAAAATCTGTTTCAGATAGTTGCCTAAATCTTTATAGGTTTCTGACTGTAAGCAAGTGGATTTGTAAGCACATTCTGTTGAATATTTCTAGCTTTGTGTGTGTATGACCTTAACATATTTTTTGCTAGGAGTTACTTTCCTTTATGGAGGTAAGATAATGAATAAAAAAACCAGTGTATATACTGTCTTGGAGGCATTTTTGAATTTGGATTGCTTCTGAAATGTGGGGATTGGCTTAAGTGTTGTGGAGAATATGTTGGACTTTCTCTTTTTTTCTTCTCCCTCATTCAACTCACTCTTGTACTTGTTGCTACTTGAATATCCTTTGGCTAAGTGAAAGATCAGTGAGATCCCTTTATCACTTCAGACCAAAGTTTTCACTCTGCTGTCAAGTTGTGTTACACCTTCATGACCCTCCTTCTGTGCCAATTTCTAAGCAAGATCTTCCCCTACAAACATTTGTTTACCTGAATGATTTGTTGCCACTGGTTCTTGCACAGCGTAAACCAGAAAATCAGCACTTGATAATCTGTAAGATCCTCCAGAAACTTTGTCCTGCACCAAGATAAAAGCAGAGCAACCCTAAGTGTGTGACTTTAATTCAGTCTGCCTTATTCTGTGCCTCATCAGGTATGTGCTGTGTGAAGTGGAAATGAGCCTGCTGGAGAGACTGTCAGCAGTCCCTCATCTTGTCCCGAGCCGTGATGCAGATTAGGTCAACCATGCTGCAGTCTGAATTTGCTGGCTGGAGTCCTTGTGCATCTTAACTAGTTATTAGCAGTGCACTGAACCTTGGCTTCTCCCTTCCTGGTCCCCAAAATTTTCCCATCTGCACTGTAAAAAATTAGTTTCATGGAGGATGATCTGCACCAGGAGAATCCCAAGCAAGAAAATTACAGCCTATCTTTTATTTTGGTGGGATTGAATAGTAGAAAGAAAAGGGAGCAGTGGACTCTGAAGTGTAATTTTTAAATGCCTGTCAGTGATTATAAATTCCAGGGTCTGAATCATGAGGCATATCTCAGTTATAGAAACAGCTGCTGTTTTTCCAGGTCATTTTAACTAAAAAGTAGGGATAGTTTAAATATTCCTACCGAAGCAGAGTGTTTTATGCTTTGTCCACAACCCTGCTATTAGGGAAGAGGAGGAACATTGATGCAGCCCCCTAAGATGACAAGCTGTGAGGTTCTTGTCACTCTGAATAACATGAATATGTATGAAGTAGCTGTTTTGTTGTCATCTTCAAGTTAGCTGCAGTTCTGGTGTTGGTGAAAGTGTTTTGGCTGCCTGTTGATAGTACATCAGGAGGGGAACTTTGTTAATGAAAAGGGGTTAAGACACCTGGAAAATCAGTGATGATCATGTTGCATCATTGCTGCTTATCTCAATATGTACGTCTCCCAGATTTACTGGGAGCGGAGTCATGGGATGGAGGTATTGCTGAGGGCAAAATATCATCCCTTTCCAGAAGGAGATGAAAACTTTGGCAAATCTGTGCTGGCATAATTACTCTTCTGTTACTGTCTGTATATGGGTGTTTCCTGCTCTCTGAAAGCACCGACAATTCCGGCTGTATGCAAGAGGAACAGGAATTACTGTCCCATCAGACTGACTGCAGCAGAACATACAGTGCCAGTATGGAATCTTCTCTGTGCAAATGCTGTGCATCAGACAGTTCACAAAAGGTTCTCCAAGAAGTTTTCCCTTCATCTGTGTAGTTTTCCCCAACAGTTACGTATTACCGAGGTGTTGCCTATTGATGGAAAATTCCTGCAGGGACTCGGGGATCCTCCATAGAAATCAGACACCACAGGCTTACTTAGGTGATGTGTACTTAGGTTTATTGGAAAAAGGAATTGGCACTGTGTAAAAATACCAACCTGCACTCCACAGATGACTTCTGAGGGGAAAAAAAAATTTAGGAAAAATCAGCTGTTGCAGGCTTAGATGTGTTACATAGGAACATACTTTGAGTTTAGCTCAAAGCTAGGATTGAAGGGTACTGCATCAGTATGTTCAAGGCTTTGGCTGGACAAAATAGTTGCTTTGTTAAGTTCAGCCCTATTGTGTGTTTAGATGTTAACTCAGCTCTTAAATCAGCTTGGCAAACCTAGATCAAACAGAATATGTTGCCAAGTACGTTAAAAATAGATCATACGGAGTTGTAAAAATAGTGACTTCAAGTGGTTGAATACTATTGAATCATCTCTGAATCTGCTTTTTCTTGTATAAGCAGAACCGTAGCTTTTTAGTAAATGCCTTGGGATGGGTTTTGTGTGGTTTACCTAAAAGAAACTCGCCTGAAATGTATATGGATGTACATAAGATCGTGTGCTTCTCTTCTGCTTTCAATGCTTTTAGCTTCATCAAATCCAGAAGTTATCCAGATCAGTTCTGTGCTGGATATAGCATCTCAGGTGGAAGAATATTACAGCAAAGGATATGTTGTAGGAGCTGTTCATCCCATTATGCTGCCAATTGGACGTAGAAGGAGTTTCCCTGCCAGTCACATGTATCGAGTGGTGCTTTCTCGATTAAAATCAAGGTAAGGGGGAAATAATTTGAATACACTGATCCATTAACTAAGCCATTTCTAAGTGGATTGCTCAGCTTGGATAACTTATCAGTTTGAAATGAGTGCCTCAGAGAATCAAGTTAACTGTTTCTGGTCTAGAAAGGTGAGCAAGTTAATAATGTTTTTTAATCAGTGCTAAGCACACAACCGACTGATGTTTACTTTGCTGTAGTAGATGTCCAAACAAAAATCCAAACTGTGATATCATCTGTCTTAGAACCTGCAGCAAATAAAAGGTTAACCAAAACAGTAGGAGAGTAATAAACTACTTTAAATTACTATATGTCTGCTTTATCTTCATTTTCAAAACTTTTGTTTTCACTTTTCTCAGGGAAAACGATGTGTGTTGAATTTGTGGAACAGCTTGTGAGAGTTTAGGTTTTTTCTTAAGGAGATAATCATTCTATGATCAGAGGTCTTACAGAAACTGATTTTGACACTGATGAAGATGCAAGAGTTTGCTCCAGATCCATGATCTTCTTCATTACTCCTGTTTTCACTGCCCTACAATCACCATCTGATCATAAAGAACATGGATGTTACTATTAGGTTATTTGAATGTACAGAATATAAACTTTTGTTCTTATTTTGAAAAACTAGAAAAGCGAGGTTCTTACTGCATTAAAAGTTGTCGTGCTTCCCCTTCACTCCTGAGTCCTCATGTGAAGGTTTCTTTCATTTATTTGGAGGACTGGAAGGGTGTAAATTGGAAGCTGCCCCCTGCCACTCCAGTAATGCTTCTGTAAAGCATGTTCTTTTGCGGTAACTTGTCAAACCCATTGCCTAAACAAGCATTGTCCAGTCAGGGTATTTGCTGCTCATGCAGCTTAACCTTTGTAAGTTCATCTGCAAACAAGGTGGGCAACAGCTTAGGTAGGAAAGCAGAATGTTTGCTCTAGAGCTGAGGCTTCTAAGAGCTGACACTGCCAGCAGTAGCAGCTCCCACAACTTGCCTTTTCCATCCTCACCAAGTTGTGGTTTGAACCTTTAGGCCTTTGAGTATGTGAGTGGTGACACCTTGTATCCTCCATGTGGAACTCTTTGCTGTGTCTTCACAGTTTGCTGCACAGGTGCCTTATGTACTCCTGTTGGTTTTGCTATGGGCAAATACGCCTTCTCTGACTACTGTCTGGAAAATAACTTTTTATATTTCAGCATGTCTCATTGATGTTTCTTTCTAATTCAAATGGTTATGTGAAGGAAGCATCAAATCATAATATTGACGTACACTAAATATTACTGCCTGAGTAATAATGCAACTGGCTTTAGATAAAATGTGAGTATCATTCTGTAACTTGAAATGGAATTTAGGGCTTGTTGGCTTCTTAAGTCTGAGAGATTCAAACACTGTGTAGCTCTCAGTAATTGTTTGTGCACTGTATTTCTAGTATTTGTCTACACTGTTTCTTACGACAGCTGCAACTCTGCTTTAGTTACAAAAACTAAGCAGCAGCATGTTGAGTGTAAAAGGACCATTTCTATTCGTAGTGTTTTCTACAAAACCAAAGCTGTTTTGTGCTTACTAAATGTATAGTTTAAATTCGTATTTTTTGTGTTATCAGAGACTTTTGAGTTCATTACAATAGCAGAACTGTTTATCAGTAAAGCTCAGTTTTGAAAAGATGGCTATGAGTGGCCTTTAGATGAAATTCCTGTTAAAAATTAATATTCTTACCATGGCACTGTAACACATAATACCTTGTCACTTTGCATAAGAAACAGAACAAGACACCAAAACCCACTGAGTTCTAAAAAGTATGAAGAAGCATTGTCAGGATTTCATAACTGTTTCAAAAGAAAAGAATTCTATATGCAAGCACTTGCCCAAGTTAGCAGCAAACTCCTGACAAAGCCTGCTTTCTTTCTGTGTTCTAGCCAGAAGCATGCAGCACCCAGAGGACAAAGGCACCCCAGGCTGCTGATTGAAGAATGTCCTTTAATGTATGAAACACTGACAAATGAGGTAGTGAAAGAACTGTTAGAAAAGGTAATGGAGGCTTTTCCCATCTTCCTTCATATTTTTGTTGCTATCTTACATGTAAGTTATATTTAGTGGTTGATGTGTTTTCAGTTTTGCATTTATTTCATAGAAGCTACAAAGCTTTTTTCAAAGTGACAAGAGTTTTTTCTTCACTAGTTAATGTTCCTAATGTAGGGCTTGGTGTTGATTGCTGTAAAGCTTTGGGAGACTGGCTGGTTACAGCACTAACAGCAGAATCTCAAGCCCAAACTCTATCTCTATAAAATGCTTGTGTGATGTCTGAAGTTTCGTGTTGTTCTGAGTAAAGTATCTAAAAAAGGTTTTTTCATTGTTTAACAGAACTCTAACATGTGCAGTAACTGTATTAAGTATTTATTTGGCACAGCTTGTGAAAACATTGCATAGTTCAAGTAAACTAAAGTTCCACTGGAATGCAAGTTCTAGTTCTGGTTCTTTTTGTGTTTAACTTCCTCTGCAAAACTGAAGACTTGCTGAAACAGGAAACTATTGTTATTACAAGAGTTAGTGATATCTTTTACATTAGTTGCCAAGGAAAGAAGTAGAGGAAAAAGCACATTGAAGATCTTTAATCATCTCTGAAATTATCAAAGCTGCTTAAATTTTCTAGATGGCTTGTTTTGACTTTGGCAGGCATTTCAGTTTGAGTGTGATTCCATTACACACACTTCTTTGCCTATTGCCAGGCTGGTGGTGTAATGTACCAAAGATTGAAAGGAAAAACACACTTGAAATGAGCAGTGATGCTGTCTTGGAAGCGTATTTGGTGCAGAAGTAGTATGGGAGAATAATTTGATTTTAAAGTGTTCAGTGTTTTAAAAACACTGAGCCATTAATCCAGGAAAAAATTACTACTGTTTTTTAAGGATCAATAAGACTTTGTGGCATTTCAGGGAAAAGATTATCATATCACATCACCTATTTTTCCCTATGTTGCTAGTTAAATTTAAAATTGATTGTGAAGCAGCAGCACAATACAGTCAGTGGTTGTATCATTGCTGTACAAACACAGTGGTAGTGGGCAGTAACACTTCAGTCTGTTGTGGTACTGAAAAGAGATAGCTGTACCATCAGCTGTTTGGTTGTTGTTCACTCTGGTGATTAACAGTTTATGTGAGTTAAATGGATCAAGATCCTTCCCTCTCTGCCCTCACTTGATAATCCAGTACTTCTCAAGTGATTTCTTCTTTCTGGATCGGGGCTTTTGGATTAACTGGGAGAGCTTTCTGTCACAGGGAGCTCGTAGCACAAGGTGGCAGTGGGATCACCTTCCTAAATGGCAGCACTCCGTATCCTAGGAGAAAAAAACAACACCTCCAAGAACAGACACATCTCACAGGTGGCACAGATGTTAGTTGTAGATTGAGACTTCAGTGCGGAGAGAAAGACACACCACTGGCTGAAGGAGTTAAGAGGATTATTTGCTTCTGGCTCCCTCCTTTCTCTGCTCCTTCACTATTCTCAGTAATAATGAAGTTGAGTAGCCTCCAAGGGAACTGGGGGGTGATGAATCATGGCACATGACAAAGAGATATTTCTGTAGTATTGGAAGTCAGTATTTTTAGTATGACTGTATCACATATTTAAAGAAACAATACTATTTATTGCTCCATTATACTGCTTATCTCTGTGGCACAGTAAATAAAATACTTAGGGTTTGTTCTAAATGAAGGATTTTGAATGCCCTCAAGTCAGTACCAGTGTTGGCCACCTTTCTTGGCCTGACTCCAGATACATGCTGGAAAACTTCCACTTACTTTGAAGCATGGACAGTGTCAGACAAGCCACCCTTCTGTAGTACCCTTTTATGTTTGCATGTCCTCAGCACTTCAGTTAAACAGAACATGCATGTAGGAGTTTTAAGAAGTTCCATGCAATTGTAAAATGACTCTGCAGCTAAATTTCTGTTGTGTTGTAGGTTAACGAAGCTGCTAAAAGAGGAAAGAAGTTTGTGGGATTTGTAACACAACATTTTCCTCAGCCCAAAGCCTGCAATGGAACAAGCGCAGATGGAAGTGCAGAGCTGGAAGCAACACTGGGCAGAAGAAACAGGGAACACAGGAGAGAAAACTTTGATGAAAACTATAAAAACTGGAATGAGGGGACACTGAGCGGTCACTCATCTGAGAGTGGGATAGAGGAGGAAATGCAAGGAGAAAGCAGACTATTGGAGGATTCAGACTTCCAGTTTGGAAAAGAAGTCAGCCCTTCTAAACCACGGAAAGGAGATGGTAATTCATGTTGCATGTTTATTGCAGAAATAAGGTATTCTATTGAGCTGTTAAGGTGATGGAAAAAAACAGAACATGCTGTTCTATCAAATACTGGCTTTGGATGATGCCCCTATATATGCATATATAAATGCATGTGTATTTCCAAAAAAGCAGCCAGTTAAAAAAGCAGAAGAAATATTTACCTTCTGCTTTACGCATGTGATCTGTGGTAATACACTAAAATGATATTTCAGTTTTCATGTAGAATATTATAAATGTACTATCAAAATTCTAGTTTGTAATTTGAAGAAAAAGGCAAACCTGCAATCAACTGCCCCCCAAAATCACCTGCAGGGTAATTCTGACTTGAAATGTGGTGCAAGCAGGTAGCTTGTTTGCTTGGCATGTGTGTAACAAATATGTTACACGCATATGGCAGTAAAAATTTTTTCTCTTAGAAGGATTTAATTGTTATAAAACGTTTTCCTAAATACATGATTTTTTTACTTAATGCTAAACCATAAACATTTCCAAGAATATGTTGTGACTCCAGTTGTGCCTGTTTCAAAGCTGACAATGGAGAGAGCCCCTTGCAACCAGAGCTGTGATTTTCCATGCTTTTAGCCAGCTCACATCATGTGCAGCAGGCAAATCCGTTCATAATGGATTCTTTCTGGTTAACATGCCTTCAAGAAGCTCCCTGAAAAGGGATCACCTAAATTAATGCATTGACCATGAAATTAAAGACGATAATTGCTACAAAATGAATTTACTAGAGAAAAGTAAGCGTTAGGAGTACAGGAAAAGAAAGCAGAATTGAAAAATGTTCGTGCAGAGGTAGACAACTTAGTTGTAGAAGAGTCTGAGATGCTTAGTGTGGTCTGAGAGATTGCCTGACACATTAATTTGTGGTACTCAAGGGTAGAGTCCTCCAGGCTGCTCAGAGGAGAAGGTGGGCAGGAAGAAGTGTAATCTGAAGCATGAGAACTAACACAAGACAGTATTGTGTGGAAAGCAGGCAGCATGAAACTTTCATGTCAGGCTGCATTTTGACATAATAGGTTCTTCCCTGATGGACCAGACATGTTTTAATTGCTCTCAAAAGCAACCTTTTCACTTTCCTGTTAAAAGTAAAGCAGCCTCCCCAGTTTGTAGTCTGTCAGAATAATGACTGCATGCACAGAGATGATCAGTGTCCTTATTTTTAACACTTCAGTAAAAGCAGTTCTACAAGTGAGCCTTCATAGCATAATCTTTTAAAGCTTAACTTTTTCCTTACAGCTTGAAATAGTGAGTTTGGTATCTGTGGCGGAATAGAAATCCCACAAGGAAAAAGCAGAAAACTGGTTCTGTTCAAGAATATTTTTTGTGCAGATGGGTGTGAGTGGGTGGATTAGCAACCAGTGCATCCCCTACATGCAGTGCTCTCAGGAAACTTTTTTGAGAAGCTGTAGAGGGGACATGCCAGGCTTCTCTCTGAAAGGAAGGTCTTACAAGTGTGTATGTATGTACTGCTGTGTCAGTATGCCAGTTCCAGTTAGCTCTGCTCAAAAGAGGCAAACTGTGTCCAAGATTTCAGGGTCATAATGTGAATTTTTACTATTGCATTACTTTTTAATTTATTCCATCCAATTTTGACTAATATATTGCTTGCAGAGGCAAACTTCTGGTAGACTGAATAGTTGTATTGGAAAAAAATTATCTTTCTTTGGAAGAATAAGTGACCTCACTTCAGTATTTGGGAAAGGAAATTAAGGGTTGTCAGGACAAATGCTTTTATACTAATATAACAACCTGTGGAGAGGATAAAATGGTATAGAAAGGAGAGTCATTCTTACTGAAAGTTCAGAATTTTGTTCTGAATTCACCTTATTCCAGGCACCTGATGTCACTTGCAGTGGGTGTGATAACACTTCTCAGAACACAGGGTTTCTTCCATGTATTGATTCAGATTACTTGAACTACAAAGCCATCTTTGTTTTGGCAGTGTGAATATTTCTGTGTTTAGAGGTTGGTTTTTATTGATTTAGGCTGCTCAGCGATATTAGACCATCTCAGAACATTTTTGGGCAACTGCTTTGTGTTATTTCTCCACAGCAGTGAAACACAAGTGTATTTATGGAACACATTTATATAGCTAGGACTTTATAACTTGTACCAGTGATTTCCTGAAGTGCTGTGGATCTCTAAATTTTCATCTTTGAATGCTGGTTTGAATGCTTTGTATTAATACCTACACAGCAGATGATTTGAGGAGATGGTTTTGTTTGCTTAACTTGCATGATCACCAGGAACTACTGAGAAACTGCAGTAGGCAACTAACACCAGTACTTGAATAACTTTCAGAAAATAATGGGTAAAAATCAATACTGTAGAAGACATTCCTTAGGTTTACAAACATAGAAAATTGTCATTGGTTATTGTAATTTCAAATACTTGTAGCCAGAAGTTTCATGAGTGGCAGAAAGGAAGCCTGTTTCCACTGGGATCTTCTTAGCTCTTAGGTATTTTCTTGATGCAAAACCCGCCTACCTGAAGGGTCCAGTGGCACCCCAAGTGTAGGAAGTTCACATTTTCCTTGTATCCCAAAGCATACTTGCTCTCACACCTTGTTCTGAATGTGTTCAGGTCTTCAGCAGAGTACAGGCACATCAGGAAGCAATTATTAAAGCTGTTGCTTAGAATTAGAAAATGACATTGGAATAAGATTAGTAATATTGTGAATTTTGGAGCATTGTCTTGGAGAGTTTAATAATTTTTCCTTGTCTTTTGTCAGACAAGCTGTATACAGTCTTCAATGTTTTTGATGAGGATTCCACCTGCTGGACCTATCATGAAGGTGTTTTGTCTATGAAAGTAACCAGGAAGGGGCCAGTTGTGAGTACTCTGGAAGCAGACTGGCTAGAATTAACTACATTTTATTATAAACAAGGATTGTCCTTAGTTGATTCTTTTGTGCACTGGGAAACTTCTAAAGGTGAGTACAGTCCCAAGATATAGTGAAGCTTTTACTTGTTTATGTAGAACTACATATATTGGAAGAAAAAAAAATAAGTTCATGTTTTGTTTCTTGGTCTGGAGGTCAATATGTAAGCATGTTCAGATAGTATATTGTAACTTTGTAGAGTCTGATACCTAAAAAGGAAATGATTTGTTTTCTGGCCAATTAGAGATTTAGGTATTTGAAATTTGTTTTATCAAATTGAGAATTTCCAAAGCAGGAAACCAGTGCAGCGATAAAACAAAATAACCCATAGTTTGGTTTTCTTTTTTGGAAGGAAAGGGTAAGACAGGGGGGAGATCATTGGATGGATGTTTGTGATGTTCCTGTTGTGCTGCTCTGTGGATACGGTGCTGCACTCCAAATATTTCTAATGAGACAGAAGAGCACCTTGAGTTCTCATTAACCTTATTGTACCACTAAACCCAAGTCAGACTTTCCATTTTTCTTGGCTTTCTTCAGCTCTCTGCTGGACTTTAAAGAAACCCGTTTCTGTCCTTGCACTCAACTGTAGGCAGATCCTCCAGCACTTGTTCACACAGCTGGGGCAGAGCTCTGCCCTGGTCCCTCCTGCTTCCTGTGCTCTTCTGCAGCAATCTGCCAGCTCAGTTGACAATCATACTGATATAACAGAGCAATTAAAATGATAGACCTCTGGGCCACAGGATTTCCAAAGTTACTTCGTTCTGCCAGTTTCTGTGGGATACCCATTCTTATTCTGGAGAGATCCTACCAGCTCTTTGAGAGCTCCAAGCCTTCACTCTCCTGATTAACAGACAAGCCTGGTGTCAGTAGTGCCACTGCTGGCCCAGGCCCCTGCACACCGTGCTGAGCCCAAAATCCTGCCTTTGGGCAGAGCTGTGGGTCAGTGCTGTAGCACTGGTGACAACAGAAGCTCTTTGCTGGCCAGAGTATCTAGAACTGTAAAACTGTTGCTGGTAAAATACATAATTAAGAGATTCCATTTTGATTTGAACTGATTTTTGTCTGAAAGCCAGAAATTCAGTTGACAAAAAATAGTAGGAAGCCACTATTGTGCAATTGCTTGGAAAAAAAACAGGAGAAAGTAGTAGTACCCTGGTGTTAGGGGTACAGACCAAGGCCAACTGACCTGATTAATAAATTCTGAAACTATTAACTACTGTCAAACAACATTTATTAAAATAAACCTAGACCTTATACTTCTCCAGTGTGATACTTTGGTTGAATTTGTACATGTCTTGCTTGTACTAAGTTGCAAGTTGTCAGTGTTCCTGTGTAATTAATTATGTCAGTTCAGTGTAAACAGGCAAAATAAAGGGCTACAGTGGAGGAAAGTCTTGTAAAACATTGGTTAAAAAGGTTTCAGTGCCCTTAAACAGTTTTTGCAGTGCTCAGGCTGATTATCTAGAGCATTAGATAATTAATTATTAAAATTACTTTCTTAAGTCACTTTGTCTGCCTCTTATATAAATTATACCAGGAAGGCAGAATTAACTAGGACTTGGAGTAGTTGTTATATTTACTGCATCTTACGCTTCTTTGTGTTAATACTGATTTAAAATATGTATTTACCATCTCCTTTGCAAGGCAGAGCTTAAATGAAGAAAAGTAAAACATAATCTTTAAAAGCTAAATGATGTGGGTTCTTCAAAAACAAAACCCTGACAACAATGGCAACTCTTCAATTTTCAATGCTCTCTGTAACTTTGAGTGTGAATCACTGCATTTCTGTAGCTCTGCAATAAAGTAAACTTAGTGGCTGTCAGAGGCACATGAACTCATTGACATAGATTTACCTCAGATGGAATTTGGCAGCTTCTCCCTCTCAAACTGCATATTTTGTGCACATAAACAGTCTAATGATGCAGTTTGTAATAGTCATCTTTTTTGCTCTGAAATTATTACTTATATTTATTCAAGTCAGTGGAAGAAGAAAATTTCCTTGGGGGGAGGAGAGGTGAGAATTTGGACTCCTAGTTTTCAATACAGTTTTTTTTTTAGAGCTGGAAAAGAACCCTCTGGAGATCTGTTACAGTTGACTGAGGGCTGGTTTTGGCAGCTGTTGAAATTAATCTTTGCAGCTGTTGTCCAACAAATTTTACAGTCTTCCCATTCCTCACATAGAGAAGATCTGTCTGCTCCTCTCTGTATGAAGAACTACCACATCTTTAATAGCGGGGCAATAACATCTCTCATCCAGGATGGGAGGGGATTTAAATCCAGTATTCTGAGGATTACGTCATTTTAATGTATAAGTTCAGTTTAAATTTAAGTTAGTCAGCTGTCAAGGTGTTTTTCCACAAAAGGCTTCCTGAAGGTTTTTGGGAGAAGCAAATCCAGAAAATGAACCAGTATTTGATGCACAACTTTAGGCTGGGCCAACCGGATGCTCTGGGGCTTTGACGTGTGAGTCAGGGAGCTGGGCTCGGAAACTTCCTTCCCATCAGGAATCTTCCTACAATTACTTGTGTTTCAGGCTCTTCCTGTGGCCATTGATGTTTTCAAGCAGCAGTACTTTGGCTTTGCCCTTTATGGTTCATTATCTCCATTCCCTCCCACTGCAGCAGAAGCCACGGTTGTTGTCAGGCAGATGATATTGAGGCTGAGTAAAGAGGGTTTGTGCCCATCCTCTCCAGGAGATGTGTTTGAGTACAGGAAACTGGAATTCTGATGGGAGCATGGAAGGGGTTAATGCTTCTGAGAAAATTAAATTGTTCAGAGTGCAATTTGTATAGAAAAAAAGGCATTTGAATATTAAGTTGATTTGCATACTCAAAGTTATAATGAGATGCAGAAATAACCACAAATTTGAGTTTGCTAACTCCTGTAATTTTACTTCAGAGTTCAGTGGTGGGGGGGGGACATCCCTAATATACTTCTTGGTAGTATATCAACCTAAAACTTTGTTTATGTTCACAGGGGACTATTTGCCCAAATCTTTAGAAGGATTATTTATCTATGAAGAAGAAGGTGCTGGGGTTCCAGGTTCCAGCAGGAAAGGAAATGATGCAATAGTTGTTGAACAATGGACAGTCATTGAGGTAAATTGGTGATTATTTAGCAATGCTGTTTCCTACTTCTTTTTTTTCTTGTTTTTTTTCCTTAGGGTGCTTGTACCAATATTAGATAAACGTTCAGGATGGTTTCCTGAGGCCACCTGCATGGGCTAAACTCAAGCCTTGAATCATAAAAATAAAGTCAGGTCTGTGGCCACTGGTAAATGTACGGAAAAGAAATATGCTGGAGGGGTTCTGGCCTGCCATTTACAAATGATCACACCAACAAATACAGCCACCAGAGAAAACGTTTTGGGTTTTTTTGTGTGTGCTTCAGACCAATGTTAGATAGAATTCCAGCAAGTGCAGGTCACACTGGTAGTCTGAAGCATTTTTAAATAAGAATAGGAAGAAGATAGCTAGAACTAGAAACAGGAGAAAAATTATAATGAATTGAGTATGGTTTTCAGATATATATTTTTATTAAAATGTTACTGCTAAATATGAAAGGCTTGGGTTTCCCTGATAACTGTAGTAGGCTACAGCAGTAAAATAACTTTTAAAAATATGTTAGTTATAGGATTGTTGTATCAATGACATCTGAAATTAGGCATTGTTGGAGCATATTAAGGGCTTATGTTGAAATATCTAATGATAAATATGTTTACCAATGTGAAAAGAATCAATATAAAGCTTGTATGTTAAAAAAAGTCAAACAAAAAAACCTCACCAAAATCTTAATTTTAGTGCTAGGTGAGATGCTTGTTCTTGATATCTAAAGTAAAAACAAATACATAATGGACACCTAGTATGGTGACAAGCTGGACAAATGAGATGTGCTTTGAACTGCATGTCTTGCTGAATCAGGGCTCATACCTAATGTTAAAAAATGGTTCTCCTCAGTTTTTGTAGTTGTGACCTTTCAGATTGTTTTCAGTTTGAAATAGTGAGTCTCCACCAAACGATGGTTTATCATCTCACAGGATTGTCCCACTAAAAGTGAGAGAGGAGTTGTAGTTGTGTAGAAATGCAAATAAAATCTGTACAGAGTCTCTTTACTACTTTTTATAATTATTAATGTAGGGGTGTGAAATTAAAACAGATTATGGACCTTTATTGCACACGCTGGCTGAGTTTGGATGGCTCCTGACCTGTGTCCTGCCCACACCCATCGTACGACATGACAGGTACCCGCACTGTAGTCTGCAGCATTTTTGGTGTACATGTCTCAGAATTATTGAGTAATTATTCATGTCCTTAAATGTAAAAGGAAGGGAAATGCTAATGTTAAATGTATATAAAACTTAAGATGTAAGTAGCATTATGACTATCTTTTGTATGTATCTTTTAGTATGATGTTCTAGGTCTACTGGTTCCAGTGAGTCTAATTCTAAACTTAAAATATGTTGTGTAAATCTAAAAATTAAAAGATTTTATTTACAAGACTTTTTCCTACATACCCGGTCCCCAGCAATGGGGTAACTCAAGTGCTTCAAGTTTAAACAAGTGTTGAAATGTTTCACTAATTTTAGGACCTTGGTGAATGACTAGTTGAGGTGATGGAAGAAGTCATGTCACAAGACAGTCATGCAGTAGTTATTGCACATTAGAGGGGGTAATGTGGTAATTCAGCAAGTTATTGGGTTGTTTCTCTTCTTTTAATATAGACATTATGGTTCACTTCAAATATTGTACCAGACTACTGGATTTCAGTTTTCTGGTTGTTGTACTTATTGAGATGATTGAGGTGACTCTGCCTACTCTTTAAGAAGAGCTAAATAGCCCACCTGGATCCCCCATAACGTTCTAGACTTTTTTTACACACACACACACACACCCCCCCAAAGTAATGTGCTTTTCAGCACAGTATCAAGTTAAAAAAAATGGCAAATGAAGCAGTGGATTAAGGGTTCTTAATGCTTCTTTTGTCTCTCATCTTTTTTTTTTTTAAGTTAGATTAAGATTGCCAAGATTTGAAAAGAAACAAATGTGCTGAGGCACAGCTTAGGGGTCACTAGCAACTGCGACAAGAGTGGATGACTTGAGTAGTCTTTGAATCCCAGACCTCACTGTGTTAAATCAAGAGAGCATGAAAAAGATGTGAATGAAAAGTTCTAAGAAAACTCCTGCAGTAAAGTGGGAGTTTTGTTCAAGTGATTTCACGGAATTAAATCAACTTGTGCATGGAGGAGGTGGCTTTTCTGGTCAGGAAATATGTATTGGGGGTTTTTGCCTGTGGTTTTTTTTTTTTTTTAATAGTTGACTTTAATCAACTGGTTAAATGCAAAGACAGAAGTAGTGGTAAAACAATATGGCATGTTCTGTGGTAATTTTTTTTGTTTGTTTGTTTGTTTTTTTAATAAGGATCTCTGTTTTGTTTTCTTCTGGAAGATGCAGTTTCCAGAATACAAAGCAAAATGGTTCTCCTGTAATTTGTTCAATAATTTTGCAGTCTAAGTGTATTAGCTTTGAACATGGCAACTTGTAAGAGTATGTGAACTACTGAGCCTGGCTTTTGTAATCAGCTGCAATTTTTGGCTAAATCTTAGAGCTTGAGAGTAAGTCTTCACAATCTGGATCTAATCATTGAAGGATGTCAGTGGAGAATGGGAGAGAGATTTTAGTAGTCGTGGTGTGCTGTGAGTGATAGAATGAGGGACTTTTTAACCTACCAACTTTTGTGTCCCACCAGCAGTGTAACTGAGCCCATTCCTGCAGGGTTTGGATGAACAGGGTCAGGAATGTCCCGAGCAGCTGCTGCTCAGCCACTGGGAATGTCAGTCTGTGCCTGCAGCAGGACAAATGGTGCTGCTTTGTACCTCACAGATTGCAGAGCAAAGGCAGGGCCCATGCAAAAAAGCCAAGTGCTAGAAGAAAAAACAATAGGAAAAAGGACTAACTGATTAGGTTGGAGTTGTTAGTATTTGAACTAGTAAGAAAATGTACCAGCCAGCAAGATAAATTTCTCAAGTAGTGTTACATCCTAGAGGTGAAACAACCAGCCCGTTCATAGCAGTGTTCATGCTAAAGGGGGTTACATCCTGGCCAAATCTGAAGCTGGATTCGTTTCGTATCCACACTAGAATAATTCAGACTAATAAAAAGCACTTGTTTTCTGGCCTAAATGGTTGGGTAGGAGTCTGCATGAAGTGTCTGATACTTGTTATCCCACTGTGGCTTGTGAGTTCATCTTGGAAGAAATAGGATGAATCATGTTTTATGTGCCTGTAGTATATCTCATATACAGCTATTCAATTTTCTTAAAAAAAAAAAGTGACAAGACCCATGAAGAATTCCTAATTAGGAATTGAGAATTTGTGAGTCAGAAAATTAACCTCTTCCTGTCCTCATGGGCTAAGTAGCAATGGATAACTACTATTTTTAGGCATTGACGTTGGCATTTAAAGAGGGGAAGAGATTCCTGGATGGCTACTGCGTGTCTGATGTGAAAGATGCCATTACAGTGGTGGTGGTGGGTTATCCTAGGAATGCGAGTTAAATGGCTCAATAAAGAAGGATGCTTTATGCTGCTCAACAGCTGGGTTTTTTTACCAGACTTGGAACTCTGTCCTCAAAACTCAGCCTGAATATTAACAGGCTTCAGAAACACTGAAAAAATAAAATAAGCAACATTGTGGGATCATCTGACAAATTGATGTTATCATATTTATTTACAAAAGAATTTATGCACAATATTTTGATAAAATCTTCATTATACTCGTTTTTGCTCACTGCAGTACTTTGCTCTGTTCTGCTTTCCCCTTATTTATTGCAAAACTTTCCATCACTTCAGATCTTCCATGATCTCTTCCTAGACTTTGTGCCCACTGCTTGTCTGCAGACCAAGAGTGTGACCAGCTGGGCTGTGACAGGATTGCCATGCGCTGATGTGTTCCTTTCCACGCTTTTGCAGGGTTAGGATTTCAAACAGTTCAAAAAAAACACACGAGGCTGTTATGTCTGCTCTTGTGTGGTTTTGTTGTTGTTTCAAGTTTTTAATTTTTTCCAGACATATAAAGTAAATAAATAAATAAAATATAAAATAAAATGCCCAAAGCATTAAGCTGTGATAGCTGAATGTCACAGATCACTGTCCTGTCTCAGGTGGGGGCAACACTCTGTACACCTGTTTTAGTCTTTCAACTCCTACGTCAATGGCTAAATCATGTTGGATGCAGGAAACATTGCCTTGAAAAGCTCTTTTTGCTGTTACAAAGAGTGTAAATGTTATTCTTGAAATGTGCACAGTGGCCATTTTGTGCAGTGTTGTGTGAAAAATAAGCACTGTGGGTCTGGCGTTTGTTTTTTGGTCGGCACACTAGACATGGCATGGAAGTTGCCCTCTCCTGATAGTGATTCTTCTTTTTTTACTCTGGGAATATAAGAAAGCAGAGCATAAAAAAATGCGTATGATGCACTCACCATTAGTTGTATCCATCCATGTCTGGGGTATTTAAACTGTGCCAGCAGTCAATAAAGAAACTTTTAGACCAAAAAAAGCAGAACATGAAAGAATAGCAGATAGATCCACAGTAATATTAGTGATGTAAAGAGCCCCCTGTACTGTATGCAGGTCTTACTTCATTGGTAAATGTCTCCAAGACAAGAATTTGACAGTAATTATACCAAGTTCTGATAAATAGCAAGAATAAAATGAATAGCCCTTTAGGAGTTAAATTAGCGAGTATCTAGGGGATACTTTGCAGGTAAATGTAGTGCTCCTGCAGTTCTTATGATATTTTAGGAGTTTGTAAAATTTCATACATGTTAGGGTTGAAAATTTGAGTTATTTCTAAGGTTTTTCAAATGTTCCATTAAATGGATCCTTTAAACTTAGTCTCATGACTGAAAGTCTAGGTGGTATGTGGCTCCAGAGGATTGCAAAGCTTTATTTTGAGAAATGCAAAAAACCCTAAAAACTGAATAGATGAAACAAATTTATTATCTTATTCCTTCTGTTCATTTTTAGAAAACTTTAACCTCTCTTTGAACTGCTTTGTAAATAACATGTTCATAAAAAAAAAAATTGATCTGTAAAAATTGGAGCCATTGGAGCACTACTGAGCTTCTAGCTTGATGTTTGCTTTCGGGGACTGAATTACAGACATGTAAGAGGACAGATTTCTTTGCCCATCCAGCATGAGCAGACAAGCAAATTGCTGAAGTCTCAACAAAAGAGTCTCTGTTGGTCTTCGCCACTCTTGAGAGAGGCAAAAGCTCCAGCAGCCTGACTCTGCAGTGACCTTTCTTTCCCTCCACTGATTACTGCAGTCCCTGAAAACGGGCACGGCAGACTATGAGCAGTGCAGTGCAAAAACACTGACTTGGGTTATTAATTTATCGTGGCTCACTACTTAATCAGTGTTTTCAAAATGCCCTGACTTAGGAGGCAAAGAGGGACTGTGGAAATGAGAGGGAAGCCACGGAGCTTCCCTTGCTGTAAGTGCTTTTTCTCATTGAAATTCTGCGGAAATCCCGCTGTCATTGAGTTCTTTGTGAACTGAGCTCATAGCAGCTTTGTCGTGTGCAGCATCTTAATAAGGGCAGACTTAGAAAATTGTTAATTTACTTATTGTCTATTCACCATCATGTCCCTTTTCTGTTCCAGGAGAATTTGTACAAGCTGTAGCTTAATGTTTGGGTTTTTTTCTCCTTGTCTCTGAAGGAATGCAGACACTGTTACAAAATAAGCCGTAGGCTCTTCCCCATGCCAGGGACTGTGCTCAGCCTTCTTGCTTAGAAGAGAGATTTCCCAGTTGATATTATCAAAACAGACATAACTGAGGCAGGGAGGAATACCTAGCCAAGTGGAATAAGGTTACAGGATTGTGGATTTACTTGTAATGACATAAATATCTTAACACATTTTCTTCTAATGAGTGCGAATAGTGAGGTAGAGACTCTTGGAGCAGGAAACCTTGGTAGTTAAAGGAAATGAATGAATTTGTTCTCCTGGATTCTTGTTTTCCCCACTAGCTGGAGTTTAAGGTAGTTCTCTATTCTCATCCAAGGAAGACATGCAAAGATATACCATGACCTGAGTTCAGCTGGACTGAAAGGAAGATTGGGAGGGGCCAAACACAGTCACAAACCCATCATCACCACCTATTGATCTGAGTATCTGTGTACTGAGTAGCAATCTATGCTGGGAACTCTTCCTGAGCTCACAGGAACAGTTTTAGTCCCTGATTTTTCTTGGAGCAGCTCTCTAATGTTAAATAAATTCTCAGTCCTAGCCCTGTCATGAAACATGCATCAGCTACCTCAAATGGGTATATGATTGTTAACCTTGTCACATACTCATACTGAAGTAAAAACCTTGCATTGTTTTAGTAGTTCTTTCTGTAATGTTATACATAATACTGATTTATGATTGATAGAATAGGTAGAATCATAAATATTTCAGATGAACTCACTACATTTCTTTGGTGTTTCTATTTTGCTACTTGTTTTTAGTGCACTCTTAAATCTGAAGTCACCCTTTTACTCAAGTATTACAGTGGTTTTCCTTTATGTGCCTAAAATTCTTGCTGAATACTGCCCAGAAGCAGGAGTTGGGGAGAGAATAGCTTATAAAAATGTAGTATCTGATATTTAGAAGAGCACTGGAATTTTTTAAACTCTTATTCTGGAATCCTGGTCTTGAAATTCTTGCAGTTTTTCATTGACAGAGTTGGGCTTTGTAGTACCTATGCTATCAATGTGGTGACTTGTATTTCTGGTGGAAAGGTTATGAAAATACCTCTTCTGCAAGGTTTAATGTATTTATAACTACTCAGAGTGTAATACTTCTGAAACATCATATCAGCAATATCTGATTAGGTCTTGAGGAAAAACTTCACCTCGTCATGTTTATTGCTCTACAAGTATTTCCTTTTTTGGGAAAAAAAAAAAAAAAGCACCTGTGCTGCTTTTACATGTGTACCATACCAGGATTAAAATCTGTAAAAGTTCTAGGACTGAAGCTGCTCTTTTCTTTTTCCATTATTTATCTTAATAAAGTATTCTCTAGTCATTTATCTCATTGTTGATGTAGAGCTTCTTTAAACTGAGCCAGGTCCTTTCATCCATAGGTGGGGAGGCAGCAAGCTTAACCCTCAGTGCCAGTTAGGTGTCGTGTTACAACCAGAAAACAACTTTTATTTAGCAGTAAAGAATGGTAATTTCCAAGTTTCATGCCACAAAGTATTGCTGTATTCGTTGAAGCTGTGGATCTACTGAGATTGGGCCTGGTTGTTGTGGCATTACTGTGGTAGTAATATCTTGCTGTATTTGACAGTGAAGATCAGGCTAAAGAAAGACTAGTGGATGTTTGCTTCAGACATAAAGATGCAGACTTGGATTAAAAGTAGAAACTCTGGAACTTAAACTTTCAAGAGTGTACATGTTAAATAACTGCAGTCATAGTAATACAAGCTATTGGTGTGTCCATATTTTTATGGACATTTTTAAGTGCACATTTATGCACATTTTTAAGTGCATCACCTTGACCCAGCTCTGTGCTTCTTTTTTTTTTTTTTAAATATGTTTACAGAACTGTTCAGGAAATCATAAACTGGTTAATGCTTCATAGTCTGTCCTCTTCTTACTCATGGGCTTACGTACACACAACTTAAAGTTGACTTAAAAGGTATGAATTTGTTAGGGGCAACTGTTGCAAATAAAACATTGAAACTATTTTCTCTAAATTTTAGTGAAGGAAATCTCGCTACAAAGCAAGTAATTTTTCTTCAGAGACCTGTTATGTGGAGTTCTGCTGTGCAGACACCAGAGGTGAGTAACACATTTATGATATTAATATAAAAAAATTAGCACTTCACATAATGGTAAGATACAGAAACAAACTGGACTTCTCAATAGGGGAAAAAAAGTGGCAGAACAGGATTTCACTCATTACTGGTTCAGGTTCGTGGAGGGCTTTTGCAGAACTCAAGTTATTTTTCTCAACGATTATCTCTTGAGTTAAACCATGGAGAAAAGCATAAGCACGCTAAAGACTTATTTTGTGCTAAGAGTCTCAGGTGGATGAAGTTGCTATGTTGGAAGTATTTTCTTTGGAGTCTTTAGGAAGTCTTAAATGTTCTGATGGAACTCCTGTATCTGTTGCACACAAGAAAAGTGTTTTGATCTCCAAAATGTCAACCTTCACACTTGGAAAAGAAACAAGTGTCAAGCTGTACGAGGGATACTGTGATTTGCAGGTTAAAGGGGTGAAGGCTGCTGTTGCATGAAAATGTGGGACTGGATTTAAAACTCTGCAGCTGAACCTCCTCAGCTCCTTGTCCCTTCTGAGGGAAGCTCCCATAACAGAGGTTGTATCAAGTGCTTTCTGAGGGTTCAGTAACTCCATCACCACACTCTGCTTGGTCAGTGTTGCAGTAAATCCTGCTGTGCCAGCAAAGTGTCAATTGCTGATGGGCTCTTCTTTGCTGCATCTTTTGACATCCCATGGTGGTTATTTTTGGACTTCAGTAGCTGTTCCACCTTTCTCTATTCAGCGTGGTTTTCCTGTGATAGTTTTAAGCAGTCTTAAGCTATGATTATTTTCGCTCATGTCCAGCACCAAACTTTACAAACTTGATATATTGTTGTAAGGCAGTGATACCTAGCTGCTTCTTTATCCTAAATAAACACTCGTATGAGTCTCTAACTTCATTCATATTTGATCTTTCTGTCTCTTTTACTTTCTTGTTAGTTTGTAACCATCATCTGTGTTTTCCTCTGTTTAGTGTTTCTAAAATATGCTCTTCCTTTTTTTGTTCTTCTCCAAGCTTTTGCTTATCTCCAGCCTAACTTCCTTCTCACTGTGTCCCCTGATAATTAGTGCTTCCATGCCTGAAAGAACTGCTTTCAACATGCACAATTCAAGTCCTGTTTTATTTTTTTGTCTTAATTCCCATGTAGTTCTTGAACACTGTAATTTATTTTCTCATTTACTTAAATGGAGCTTCTGCTTTTTCTCTTCTGTGTTCTGTGTAGTCTCCCTTGCTGGTGTCTTAATCTTTTCCATTCATACCCTCTTCTAAATCTGCCAGTGAAATTTTTTGTCCTTTAACCACCTTCTGTGTCAAAAGCATCTTCAGCTTTTAGCTTTCAGACCTTCTGCTCTCATGCCTGACTTTGTAGTCTTCACTTTCCTTCCTAATGTGTTTCTGAAAGAATGTTTTGGAACACACTGGATTCTGTCAGGAGGCATACTACAAACCAGTTCTGTAAAACCTCATTGAGGAACTGATGAATCTTTGAGAGGTGGTTTCAATTAAAAGTAGAAAGCATTATGCTCACAGTTTAAAATTCTGTCACCCAGTTATGAGGTGATGAGCAGCTTTGGTTTATACAAATAAAATGGTGTGTTTTGTAGTTCCTCTTTTATTTGTTGTAATAGGAAACCTTTGATTAAGCATTAAATGTACTGGAAGTAAACAAAAAGTAGCTGATGTGTAGCCATTTATATCAGGATTTCTGTGTTTAAAATCTGAATAAACTTAGTATCTAAGTGTGCTCTTTAAGTAACAGTGAATGTTTTACTTCTCCACCAGGAAATTTCAATAGGATGAGGTCATTTTAGCATGGGATAAATAGGTAACTGGGGCTGAAGCTGAAACGTTTAGCAGAGTAACATTTTTCCTTCTGTTTTGCCAGTTATGTTGGTTTTCCCCTAAATTTTCATCTCTTTACTTCATTGATTTTTTTAATGAAATCTTTGAATTGGCAAACAGCATATTACTTTAATTTCAATCTAAATTGATGGATTTGTTAGTAATACCAAACTGATATAGAATGTCACGATGGCTTTGCATTAAGTACCTAAATTTCAGATGTAAAATAAACTACTGAAAGTTGAAAGCATTCCTTTCTGCTCTAGAGACATTTTTGTTGTTGTTGTTTAAATAACTTTTACTGAAAAGTCTCCTGGACATGGACGACACAGCTGTACTATTTTATTGAACCCTTACAAACATTTTTGTAAAAACATATAATTCCTGTGATTGTATATTGTTTGGCATGACACTTTCCTTTTTATTTGTAGTGCGTATCTTTTCAGTGATGTTCATGTTACCTTGAAGCTGTTACTAAAAAAATTTTGGTGTTCACAACTTAAGATGTTTTTGAAACAGAGAAATACTTCAGATACCTACGATTTTTAAATTAAAAAAATTGCATCACGACTTTGCAGTTCTCCCCAGGGTCTGGCCGTGGCAGCAGCTTTGCCGCACAGGCAGGTACAGCTGTTGGACTTGCATTCTGGAGAGGGGCAACACAGGGCACAGAGTGCTTTGTGTGTTCAGGGTTATATTTGTTGATAGTTGGGTTGTAATTAGCATTGTTATTTCTAAAGGAGGTTTTGCTTCAGTACAAATTGAGGGGAACCCTGACATTATGTGGTTTCTTCACCTGACAGGGTCTCTTTTCTGAGAGAGTTTGTTTTGTGTCCTTGCAGCTCATCTCTGCCTTCTTGTATATTTCTGGGGTAGGGCATTATGACCTGGTTTATGATTTCCATAATGGTTCAAAAGCCTCTTGGGTCACAAGGGCTGTACTGTCTCAGTAAACTCTGTTCATCACATATCACTTGCTTTTCAGAGGGAGTTCAGAAGAGGAGATGCAAGATGGAGCCATACAGTGCTTGAGGGGTTTCTGCTTGTTTGTCTTTTCTTATTTCTTCATTTATTTCCCTTAGACTTTTCCATCCTCTTGCTGTGCCATCCAGGCAAAACTTATTTCCTTTTGTTTCTCCTGAGGCAACACTGTTTCCCCTTAGCCTGATTTCCCAATGTCTCCTGTAACAGCTTCCCTACATACATTTCCTTTAGCCACATGGTCCATTGTTTTTGCTGTTTCAAAAGGGTTTGAGAAAAAAACTCAGAAACGTGTAGAAGAGAGGCACAAACTTACCAAAGCGTGGTAAAAGCATTTGTGGCCTGGTTTTGTTTTTAAAGTGCTTGTGTCCTTCACGCACTGAAGTGCAGCTCTGTGCTGAGGCAGGATTCCTTTGTGGCTGGATGTGTTCCTTCTGTGGGCAGGGCTGTGTCCCTGGCAAGCATCTCCAGTGTTAGCAGTGCTTGTGCTGAGAGCAGGGCTCCGAACAGGGAGCTCATCTTAGCACTGCTGCCTTCCTGACCATGTTCCTCTCCTGTGGCTCAGGGCACTGACACTGTCCCTGGAGGTGCTACATCATCGTAGATCTGGGTAACTCAGGTAGCTCCTGATGCTGCAGTGAAATAAACCTTTTATTTGTGATGCCTCAGAGGACGCTTGGAATAGTCTGGTCAGTCTCTTATTTGCAGAAATCACAATCTGCTTACTTTCTCTTTTGACTCTGGCAACTGTCATTCAACAACGTGCATCATTCTATGAGAAAGATATCAGACAATCCCAGAACTAATGTCAGACTGTATTTATACCAAGTTCTTCCTGTGCAAGGACTCTGCAGATCCCATTTCAGATGTCTGTACAGAACAGCCACTGACTCCTGTCTGCATAGACCCACCGTGGGAATTGACTGCAATTCTCAAGGAATGTGCCGTTATCTGAGGAGACCTTTGAAGATGTTGATGGGCAGAACTGGGAGGATGAGAAATCTTCTCAGTTGCACCATGAGATGGATCAGTGAGGAATCTTCAGTCCTAAGAAGTGGTCAGGCCACCCTCTTTTTATAGAGTTCAGTATTGATGGAGTTTAATTCTCACCTTTATGAAACAGTGCACTGATGCTGAATCTCCCAGAGAGAGCTGTGCTCAGCAATGTGATCAACATCCACTGACTCACCAGAATGGCTTGCTGAGGGGGGCAGTAGCCAGAGACTGTATGTGGTGGGTTGTGGATCTGTGAGTCAATGAGAGAAGAGTGGATGTATCTGTTGGAGGTTTTTTCTCTGAAGGAGTTAGTTTAAATGAAAGTGTTAAATGCTGCCTTGTGTTAAAATGCAGCTCCCATTCAATCCATGCATGACTCATTGCAAAGTATTTGGCTAGGTTTTTTGTTTTTTGTTTTTTTTCTCCCTAAATAAGCTAACATTTCAACATCTCTTGTATTCCAGAGGAAATTCTTAAGACAAGTTACTGGGGAGGACAAAGGCAAAGTGTCTAGCAGAAGTGTTGGATTAGACACAGCTACTTCTTGCCCTCTAGAAATGGGCCAACCACCTGATGAGTTTCACCTATCTCCTTCCAAACAGAGTTGGATCAAGGAGGGATCCTCCCAGTATGGAGGCTTTCCAGGATTCAGTAGCAGTGATGGAGTATTAAGGGAACTGGATGATGGACAATATGACCAGGAAGATGGAGTCACTCAGGTCACATGTATGTGATAAAGTCAGTAACTGCATAAGATGGACATGTACATAAATCACACAAATGGATTTTTTTTAAAAAAATTATACTACTTTAAATGCATTGGTATAATCCTATGACTTTGCCCAGACTCATTTTGTATTTTTGTCAGGTTTTGTTGTTAATCCTACTGTAGTAATACTACTACAAAAGCATTTGCTTTTCTGACTCTCTTTAATAGTATAACTACATGACTGGGTGTTCTCTTAACTTGTTAATGCTTTTGACAAGCAAGGAAGCAAAAGCTGCAAAAGAGTGACAGTTTGGATTGTGTAAGGAGAAAGGAATGAGGATGTTTAGTATTTTCCACAAACTGGAGGAACGGTTTTGGGTTTGATTGGTTGTTTTGTTGTTTGTTTTTTAAGGGTGTTGTAAATATTGGTGGGGAAAGATGAACTGACTGTTAAGTTTTAATGTAATTTTCACTTTATTTGCCTTGCATAAATTCTAAAGCTTAGAGAAATGTCAAGTCTTAGCCTAGAGTGTTAGTAATTTAAGCTACATTCAGACTTGATGTGGACAGAAAAACTCGGGGTGCTGTAGGCAGACACTTCCTCCTATGATAGCTTCACCTCTGCAGATTGTAACAGAGTTCCTTGTAGGTGTAAGCCAGGCGCTGTGGGAGCTTATAACTTGAGCAATGATATATTTGTAACTTAGTCATGAGTGGAAATTAAGAACCACTCATCCCCTGGAAGATAACTTGCAGTCTGTGAGCAAGTAGTTTGAGAAGCTCAGAAGCAGCACTGACATCAGTGTGCCCGGTGGAGCTGCTGACAAAGGAGGAGGACACGGGCTAAACTTAATGGGCAATATTAGATCTTGCAGCATATACAAACATGCTGATGTGTATATAAACATGTCCCAGCTGAATGTATCTCACACTGGATAAAGTGAATTCAACTGCATCAAATACCAGACATCCTCACCATGGAGAGGAGCTGCTTGTGTTAAGTGAGGGTAATGCTGGCAGGGCTGTGTGGGGAGGGACACAAACAGGAATTACTTTTATGCTGCTGTCTGGAAACTACACTTTACAGAGGAGAAGCTGAATAAAAATGTCTCCAGGAAAAAAATGCACTTTTCATTTAGTTTTAGAAGCCAAAAGTTATAAATGCTCTTCATATTTAAGGTAAATACAAAATGATTTGGTCAGAATGAGAAGTCAGAACAGAACTGAGCAATGGTATTCACAGCCGTGCTCTCAGTGTTTGCAGTACAGCACACACAGCACCCAGGGGTTCTGATACCTGTCTGTGTGTTGTGCTGCAAATGTGGAGAGAAATGTCATGAACAGGTTTCCCTGCACCCCTCTGTTCCCCTGGGGAGGCATCCCCCCAGCTGCTGTGCGAGTCTGCCTGGCCACAGTGGTAGGTGCTGGCACTACACACAGTGGGCAGATCAATGCAGTGACAGGAACACCAACAATTAACTCCAAATGAGTACCCCAGGAGATGACCAGGATAGTAGAAGTGTAGCTGGAATCCTGGAGCTGTGCACAAATAACATGGGCAGAAGCTGCTTATTTTGATAAGCAAAAATTAACTTGTGAAAGAAAAAGGTTACACTTGCTGCTATTTCAATTTATTTTTGTGGGGTGGGCAGGAGGGGAAACCCATGCATAACTAGCATAGCAGGAGCTTGAAATATTATTGCTTTGGAGCTGCTTCCCTTTAGGCTGGGTGTTCCCTGCAGAGCCTGACCCAAACGCTGCTCTCTCTTGCTCTGCTCTGGGAACAGCAGTCGTGTCACAGTGAGCAGGGATCTCCTCCGTGGGACACAGGGGGGACAAATTACAGCCATAAATGTTACTTCTGTCTCTGGCAGCCAGCCAGGTAACTCTAGCATTTTAGAAATGGAGTGACAGCTGGGCTTTTGCAACTTGGAATATGTTGCTCTCCGTGTGAAAGTATTTTTCACAAGTTATCCAGAACTTTGGTGCGCTTGTAACTTTAACTACTGGTCATTCTCTATGCAAGTGAAACCTATAAAATGAGCAAGAATTGGTCAAAGACTTCAGCAGTTCTGAATATTTCAAGTTAGAACTTTTAAAGTACATAAAGAAATTACCCTTTATTAAGCAGTATTCTTGCTTATGGTGCTTAACAGTAGTGAATCCTTAACAACACTGAACTACAACTATTTAAGTTACAAAGTAGTAAATTTAATGCAGTTATTCTTTCTGGAATACATTACTTGGATAAAAAGAATCATTTAACTTTTAATTGATATCAGCTGTTCAGAGTGCAGAAAATTCAAATAAAATAGCATCACTTTAAGAGATTTTCCCTTTACAAGTAATGGGATGTACACAAAGGAAATTCTCTTTTGGTACTAGGGTACCACATGGATGTCCACAGGTACACTCTAGAATATCGCTACTTTTAGCAAGGCTTGTCCTAAAATGAAATGAAATCATATGCCTTTCTAGTGGTCCCCAGTTTTAACTGTGCTTTAGTTCCTGCTTGTGAATCTCACAGGTGTTGACAGTGCTGCAAACCTCTGAATTTCTTGTCTTTCTAATTTAGAATAAATATGTGAAATGGCTTCCTCTGAACACACTCAGCAATTCCTGTTAAGGAACAGCTGGGGTTTTTCAATGTCATTTTTCTCAGAGTATGAAAGTTGCCCCTGCTGTAGAAACATTAATCTTGTTTTCCCAGCTCTCTATTGTCTTTCACTTCACAGGGCTACCTTTAGGCTCTGTATGGAAGAAAATAAACAAAATACACTTCTTCATATGGGAAGGGAAAAAGCCAGCGTGACAGGAGCCAAGATAGAGATGTGGAGAGTGAGTGGCAAGGAGAGGGTAGCAAAGGAACAAATTCCTTAGCATTCTTTTTTTGGTGCAAGAACTCAGGGCAACCATGGCAGTGGTAAGTAGACAGTTTGAAACAAACGGTGGGATCTGTTCAGCTGAGTGTAGAATTCCCTGCTCCAGGATGTTGTGTGTGAAGCTACCTGGATTTAAATGTGACCAAAAAAACTCCTGAAAGGAAAAGCATTATTCCCTCTGAAAGTCACTGAACCAGACTTTGTTGCAGACTGTGAAAACTGGTCTGAGTTCACAGCTCTCCTATTCTTTAGATTATTGTGAGCATCGGGGCTTTCACCACTGGTGGCATGTATCTGAGTGTGACAAAACTTTCTGTATGCTGTTGTGTGTCTGTATGCACACACACTGCTCAGAGTGCACTAAACCTAATTTTTATTGTGAGAATTGCAAATTCAAGCATAGATACATTCTCCGACAGAAAAAGTAAGTACATTTTTACTCAATAACAAGGCTTCAGTCAGGAGCAGCCTGTGTGTCTGAGCTGTAGTAAGAAGGTTCTTTATGTGTATATGACAAGAGAAATGCTCTGCAACTATCGGAACAGAGACAGAAGGCAGCCAATACTGCTCGTGAACTTCTGCAAAGGAATGTTTATACTTTCTGATGCTTAAATTGTTTGGAGAGGAAATAGTTCTCTAGTGTTTACAAACAGGAAGAAACTGTCCAATGTTAAATATTTTGTACCCTGCTCATAATTGTCAGAACAGTTTATTTACATACCTGGTCAACTGCAATAAACTGTTGCTTAACTTCTGTGTTTCTGATCTGTAAAGTACTATTTTTGTAAAGTGTAAGATCTTTTCTATAGTTCAGAGAGGAAGGTTCTCACCATTAAAAGCACTTACCAAATCAGTTGGTTTATGATGTTTGTCTCACACTACTGATATTAAATGGGTTAGATCAATGTAGGCCTTGCCTCAAGCTCAGAATTACTTTCTTGCAGTCTTATCTGTACATCCAGACAGCTCACAAGGCAAAGCCTGAGAGACTTGGAGCCATCTATTACAAGCTGATTAGGCTTTCCTTGTTATTAGTCTATTATGCATCTGAAGGAAAAAAAATGCAGGCTGCTGTCTTGACAATTCCCAATGGATTAACTTAGAGGATCATATAAGTTAAGATTTTCACTTTTCGAAGCCAGATTCCTGTATCAGAATTTGGACAAGTGTTATGAATTAAAGAAGTGAACATCCCTGGCTTGAGGTAAGCACAACTTGAAATGAAGAGACAAAGTGGTTTAGAGGAACTGGTCTGATGACCTGCTCTGATCTGATGATCTGTTCTGTTTAAGCAGATGAACTTTGACAACATGTAAGAGAATTAAAATCTTAAAAGGAAAGTAGCAACACCACCATGGCTGATGTGTTGCAAGATCTGCTAAGCCAAAAGTCAGGAAAAATCTCAGTGATGAAGGAAAAATTAACTTGGAAGTTAGTTTTTGCTTACACTTGCTTTTGCATTTGTGAGTTGCTGTCATAATGTGCTTACTTTGTATCTGGAAGCCCCTCTTCTAGATCTCTCTGACACTTTTCCTGTACAACCACCGTTTGCTGATTTGAGTGGTGTATAAATCTGAGGTCTGACTTCCAAGTTGCTAATGAGTATTGCATTTCTCTACTTTGGAAAGAAGATGTACAACTTGACTTCAGCACACCTTGTAGCAGAGGGGAGCACTGAAGGGTCTCTTGGAAACACGAAGCTGCTGCATTCCTGGACGACGTGAAAAGTGAGAATAACTTGCGAAAATATAGTAGTATGGATAAAGAAACAGTTTAATTTCATCCTTTTCTTTACAATATAGTTCAAAGACAGTCTCAGTTTCCCTATTATGTAGAGTGTAAATTAAATGTGTTAATATTTATTAGACAAATCAATGGTTTGCTTAGGCTAACCGAAGGTTTATGGTACCATCCAGGCACATGTGTGTACACAGTACTCATGTAAACAACAGCAAGGGAAAATACAAGCAGTGTCTCACTTAGGCCTTATATATAAAATCAGCTTAGTATAGCAAGTCAGCTTTACAGTGCAAATCTGAAGGAGAATAAACAGGATTAAAACTTCCCAAGTTTTATTTTGAAGTGAAACCCTTAAAGCGTAAGAGGAAGAGGTTTAAAATTTTAATGCAGTCCTGAGCACCACATCATCTTCTTCAATTTTGTAGAGGAAATGTAATTAGCAACACCAGTTACACGTTTTTGCCAGTCTCAGTCACTGTGGCCACTTACACACATGCGGAGTGACTGGCCAGAGGAACCACACCATGGATGGCCCTGGAGCAGATTGTAACAAAGCTAAATACATTTTACTGCCTCCAGAATGCAGTTCTCCTACCTGCAGTACAAACTTCAAGGTATCTATCGAAGTCAGGTTAACCCAGTCTATACAAGGCAAGTTACAGCTAAGTGTATAGACAGCAACTAAAGCTACTTCCACTCAGACAACATCTCATGCAATTACCCTGCAATTACAATGATAAACATGAGACAAAAAGAGCTGCTGAAGGATACAGCTGTTGAAGTACTTAAGCTTAGTCTCTCTATTTTCTCATTGTTTAAATTCCCTTTTCATCCAGGTGATACAGTTGCTTGAGGTGTGCTTGATTTATATAAAGAAACATAGAATTTAAGGCATGTTTAGTATATTATGAAAAAAAAGACAATAAAAATAGGTGGACTCCCTTCTTTCCATGTAAATATAATGTAGAAGACAAAGTGTAACTTACTGAAACCAGCTGAGCTAGCCCATTCTGACCTGCTGAAAGAAATAAAGAGGGCTCCTGGCAACCTCAAAGAGAAACAACCAGCTAACTTCTTAAACAGCTATGCAAAATTCATTTAATATAAGAACACTGCTACTGCTTTTAGACCCTGCATTCATGTACACTTAGCAGTATTTCTGTTATATGCATCTCTAAAACATTTAGTTCTATCGTTCTAGACATAACACAATTAAGCAGCACTCATGGAAATTGTCAGTTATTGCAAATCTGCAAACACAGCTTCAAATAAACATCTGAGAGGGAACAGAAGCATGAATCCAAATCTTTGTCAATATAATTCAGGTGAATGAAGAGAAACAAATATATGTTGAAAACATGATTAACTCTTCCAAAGAATGGCATTCATTATTTCAGGTACTTAATGTTTTTTTTTTTCTAGGAATACAAGCAAAGACCCATGCTAGTGTTATGTAGTGTAACATGAATAGTTGAGGTATAATCTGTAAGCAGTTGCCATCAATATGCACAGGTGTTTTTTAGAGAGGTTGTGCACTGGAGAAGTCAGGTCTGCCTTAACAGGACAGCCCCTGTCCCCTGCTGTCCACAAACCTCCTGTTAACACAAAAACAAGTCCAGAAAGTGTGTTAGATATCTATCAAGAATATATATGTTCAATAGCATAGTGACATTGTCCTTTGGGTTAATACTATAGATCCTATGAGCATTTGGATATACACATACAGCAATATGCACATCCAGAAGTAAATCTTCAAAGCCATCTTAAAAAAATAAAAGGTAAATTAGGAGTAAGCTACACTGCAAGGAGACTCTTGCAGAATTATATATTTAAGATGATAATCTTTCAACTAAGACTTAATATAGGTACTGCATTACAAAATGGCTTGGTGTGAAATCTTCATCTCACTTTTTTTCCCCACCCAATCAGACACATCTTCAGGATTGTGATTCAATGATTGTTTAGCAGCAGTTTTAGAGAACTGTAAATTCTTTTATTAACAGGCATTATAAACAGATACTACTACTTTTATTTAAAAACCATGAGTGCCACATTGATGAATATACAGCTCATGAATAACTTAAAAGTATTTCCCATATTAAAAGGCAATGCACACAGCATACAAAAAGTGTACTAAACAAAGCTATGAGGATACGTGATTGAAGTGTCTAAAATGATATATACAGTACATCATTAATGTTTTGTTTTTATTCAGTACAGGCTTCTGTACTGCTGGTCCCATCATGCCTCACTTTCTCCTGACACTGAATTTTGCACTTCTTCTTCCAAAATCGGTACAATCAGGTTATCCTTGGACATCAGATTATACTTCATCACAAACTTAGTGAACCGGTGACACAAGAAAGTTTCATTCTGGAGATGAAAAAAGGGGAAAGAACAGTATGTACAGAGGGATTATTTTAAACAATTACGAAGGACGTTAAAAAAAATCAAGCCTGCTTATATGTAATTGTTGCATTAGATTTACAAGTCTTACAAAGAGACAGTCACGCTTAAATAGTAAATTTTTAACTGCTGCTTTTTTATCTTTACTGTTTGCATAGTTAATGCAATTAATAAAAAACCTACTGAAGTTTTAGTCACAGCTCAACAGCACTTAGACAAGAATATATTTAAATGTCAAATGTCTGCAATTCCTCCTACATGTACTACTGCAAACAGAACAGGGCACAACCATTCCACAGCTGTTCCAGCAACTTTGAGATTTGGCAACGGTTTCCTTTTATATCCAGCTATACTTTGTACCTCCTTTTTATCTATTAATTTCTAATTTCCCATAACAAAAACAAACAAACAAAAGGTTACTGGAGGTGCACAAGCTGCCACCACTCCCTCCATTTCTTTAGTTTTACAATTAAAATTCCTTACCTCGTGCGGGAAACATATATATTATATATACACATATTAGCAGTACTAACTACATCAAGTGCTTGAATACATTCAGAATCTTGAAAACAAGATGTACAAAAACTCAAATTATGATCTTTTATGCAAAAATGAAGGGAAACCATAATCAGGTAACTAATTACATAAATGAGTTTTTATGTAAATGTATAACAGCTTTTCAGTTACTGTAAAACTGGAATCTACCATAATCAATCCTTCAGTTGAATACAGATCTTCTGGCAGGACTAAGATGTCTTATACAATTGTATCACAGCTGTAACTTGAGTACATGCCCTGCTTTCACGATGTAATTTGAAACTACTTACTTCATATTCATCAAATATCTGCCGGTGATGAAAATAAGCGTGTGAAAATATTCTGTAAATCCTTCGGCACACTGATCCTAATTTGGCTACAGAGGATTCCTTTATGCTAACCCTGTAAGCACCAGGAGAAAGGTTACATAACACATCTAATGAGTGAGATACACAATGACACGAATTCTGATTGTTAAAACTGTACTGTATAGCTGCATATGACATTTAAGTGTTGAAGATATCTGTGTCTGCAATTGCTTATTTCTGGGAGGAAAGTAAAAATGTCGGTGAAAGCTCCACATTTACAAATTGTAAATTTTTACAATTTACAAATTACAGATTGTCTACAAAAAAAGCTCTGCACGTAGTTAATCATCATCATCAGTTACTCCAGTGAAGTCTGGATTTCTGGTTTCCAGCAGACCGGCAAAGAAAAAAATGACTTCCAGTTGTACCTCCTTGTCAATACTGGATTCCTAAAGCAGGGTAATCAACTTCTCTAGGGAGGTTTCTATGTTGTGAGCTGCCCATTCAGTACCCTCAGTCTGTCTTGTGCGGTTGCTCTGTCCCACAGTTCACTGTTGGTGGCTTCTGGAAGCTTTCCTGCCATACTGTCTAAAGTCCCGAGAGCTGCAGCATCTCTCTAGGCCAGGCTGTTATTTGGGTGGGCACTACTCCCATGGAAGCCCCCTAACACCAACAGGCATTAGTGAAACAGTTTCCATCTAAAAAGCATCTGTCAGGTCCAGTAAATGGCAAACTGTTTGAATAAGCAGTTATTCCTTGGCTTAAAAGTGGCAATAGTCCTACCAGCCTGTGACAGATGCAGGATTTCTGATAGTTCCAGCAGCAGTCCATGAAAAATGCATTACGCCTTTCCACGTGTTTTGTCAGTGTCAGGTGCCACCTCCTCCCTCCCTCCTCCCAAGAGAAAGTGTTTTTACCTGCTGGGGAAATATTTATTGCTATTCAGAAGACATGCAGCTCCATCAAGTGTGTGCCTGGTGTAGTCTATAGCAGGACACTACAGAAACAGACAGTGAGTGAGCACAAGTATGAACACATGCTCTTGTATTAGAGCTGGTTTAAAAAGAAGCATTTTTATTATGTCTCCTGGTGCTTTTAACTTCACTGGTCATTTTTATCCCCAAAAGTTTCACGTTGCTTCTGAAGGATAACTACATTTCCTCCTTAAGTGAGCCATTTCTTTCCTCTGTTTCACAACCCACGTACATTACTTCAAGGAAAAAAAATTACTATGAAAATGTAATTTTGCACATGAGTAAGTGAATTTTATGCATCTCTGTAAGTAAAGGTGTATAATAAGAATACATGCTGGAAGTGCACTGAAAGATGATTGTTACCTCATAGTTCATCTGTTTCCCACATAGTCAAGTTGCCAGACTCACTCTTTACAGGCTCTCAACCCAAACCTGCACCTAAATCTATCTGTGCTTTTTTTCTTAGCAAAGAAAACTAAAATATTGAGTGTAACTACATGTATAACGAGCCAAGCGCTGGCTCTGCAGTCAGGTACAGGAGAAAGAAGAAAGTAAAGATGGACTGAGACAGGCTGAGAGCAGGAATGTCTGTCTGTGTTGCTGTTCACCAGTTTCAGGAAGACTTCTCAGCTGTGCATTTCTGTCAGCAGGTCAAGGTTCCATGAGAGCATTAGTAGGTAGGTAGTACTGACGTGGAGAACAGATGAGTGCTGCTCTCAGATGCTCACAGGTCAAAAGCAGCCCCAAGGTCTCCGGTCCAGCTGAGTAAAACCCT